ATAATTTAGTCTGTAGGGATCTTGATTGCCTTTCCCTTCCACAAGACATCACACTGGTCCATTATATTGATGACATTATGCTGATTGGACCTAGTTAAGAAGTATCGATGACTGTAGACTTATTGGTGAGACATATGCATGCTAGAGGTTGGGAGATTAACCCAACAAAAATTCAGGCACCTTCCACCTCATTGAAATTTTTAGGGGTCCAATGGTTTGGGGCATGTCGAGATATTCCTACTAAAGTGAAGGATAAGTTATTGTATCTGGCTTCCCCCACAACTAAAAAGGAGGCATAACGTCTGGTGGGTCTCTTTGGATTTTGGAGGCAATATATCCCTCATTTGGGTGTGTTGCGGCAGTCTGTTTATCAAGTGACTCGCAAAGCTGCTAGTTTTGAGTGGAGCCCAGAACAACAGAAGGCTCTGCAACAGGTTCAGGCTGCCATGCAGGCTGCTCTGTCACTTGGGCCATATGATCCGGCTGATCCAATGGTGCTTGAAGTGTCTGTAGTAGATAGAGATGCTGTTTGGAGTCTTTGGCAGGTCCCTATTGGTGAATCGCAACGCAGACCCTTGGGGTTTTGGAGCAAAGCCCTGCCATCCTCTGCAGATAACTACTCTCCTTTTGAGAAACAGCTTTTGGCTTGTTACTGGGCTTTGGTAGAGACTGAGCTGCCCATCATGAACTGGGTGTTGTCTGACCCACAGAGTCATAAAATTGGCCATGCACAGCAGCACTCCATCATTAAATGGAAGCGGTATATCAGAAATTGGGCTCGAGCAGGACCTGAAGGCACAAGTAAGTTGAATGAGGAAGTGCCCAAATGCCTATGGTCTCCACTCCAGTCACATTACCTTCCCTCTCCCAGTCTGCACCTATGGCCTCATGAGGAGTTCTTTATGATCAGTTGACTAAGGAATAGAAAACTCATGCCTGGTTTATAGATGGTTCTGTGCAATGTGCAGGCAGCACTTATAAGTGGACAGCAGCAGCACTGCAGCCCCTTTCTGGGACTTCCTTAAAGGACAGTGGTGAAGGGAAGTCCTCCCAATGGGCAGAACTTCAAGCCATGCATATGACTGTTCACTTCACATGGAATAAGAAATGGCTAGATGTGCAATTATATACAGATTCATGGGCTGTGGCTAATGGCTTAGTTGGATGGGCTGGGACTTGGAAGGAGCATGATTGGAAGATTGGTGATAAGGATGTATGGGGAAGAGGTATGTGGATAGATCTCTCTGAATGGGCCAAATGAGTAAAGCTATTTGTGTCTCACATGAATGCCCACCAAAAGGTAACCTTGGCAGAGGAGGACTTTAACAAGTAGATGGATAGGATGACACATTCAGTGGCAAGCAGCCATCCTTTTTCCCCAGCTACTCCTGTCATTGCTCAATGGGCTCATGATCAGAGTGGCCATGGTGGCAGGGATGGAGGTTGTGCATGGGCTCAGTAACATGGACTCCCACTTAACCAAGGCTGATTTGGCTACCGCCACTGCTGAGTACCCAGTCTGCCAGCAGCAGAGACTAACACCGAGTCCACGATATGGAACCATTCCTTGGGGTGATCAGCCAGCAACCTGGTGGCAGGTTGATTGCTTTGGACCACTTCAATTATGGAAGGGACAGCATGTTGTTCTTAGTGGAATAGATACTTATTCTGGATATGGATTCGCCTTCCCTGCATGCAATGCTTCTGCCACAACTACCATCTGTGGATTTACAGAATGCTTTATCCACCGTCATGGTATCCCACACAGCATTGCTTTGGATCAAGGGACTCACTTGACAGCAAATGAAGTGCAGCAATGGGCTTCTGCTCATGGAATTCACTGGTCATACCATGTTACCCATCATCCTGAAGCAGCTGGCTTGATAGAAAAATGGAATGGCCTTCTGAAAACACAATTATGGCTCCAGGTAGGTGGCGATACCTTGAAGGGTTGGGACAATGTTCTCCAGGAGTCTGTATATGCTCTAAACCAGCATCCAATATATGGTTCTGTTTCTCCAATAGCCAGGATTCACGGGTCCAGGAACCAAGGGCTGGAAACAGGAGTGGTACCACTCACTATTACTCTAGTGACCCACTGAAAAAATTTTTGCTTCCTGTCCCTGCTACCCTATGCTCTGTGGGTCTGGAGATTTTAGTCCCAAAGGGAAGAACACTCCTACCTGGAGACAATACTGATTCCATTGAACTGGAAATTAAGAATGCCACCTGGCCATTTTGGCTTCCTCATGCCTCTGGATCAAGAAACAAAGAAGGGGATTATGTACTATCTAGTATGATAGCTCTTGATTACCAAGGGGAAATTGGGTTGGCTTTACATAATGGAGGTAAAGACGAATATGTCTGGAATACAGGAGAGTCTTTAGGATGTCTCTTAGTACTCCCATGCCCTGTGTTTAAAGTCAATGGAAAATTACAGCAACCCAATTGTGATATGACCCTTCAGGATGAAGGTTTGGGTAACCCCACCAGGCAAAAAAACCATGAACAGCTAAGGTGCTTGCTGAGGGCAAGGGAAATACAGAATGGGTGGTGGAAGAAGGTAGTTCTGAATATCAGCTATGACCACATGACCAGCTGCAGAAACTAGGAATATAATTGTTATATTTCTTCATTGTTTATGTGCATCAAATATTTTTGTTTCCTTCTGTTACGAACTGTGAAATGTAAATAAGGTTAATGCATTTTGGTTGTGCGTGTGTTAGCGTATCATGTTAGGCCCAAATATGACTCTGTAATTGTCCTTATTTAGAGATTATATATGGTTAAGAAGATGTGTACAACTGCTAAGTTGACAAGGGTTGGACTGTGATAGTTGGAGCTGTATGTCAACTTGGCTGGACCACAATTCTGTGTGGCTTAAGCTGTTGTGATGTGGTTATTTCCATAATGGGATCAGATGATTATGTTTTGAGCAGCCAGTCTGTTGAAAGGGAGTTTTGCTAGGGGTTTGTCCTGCTTCCAGTATATCTATGGACATCCTGGGAAAAGAGACATTCCTCTATGGATCGGGATTCTGTTGTGCTGCCTACAGCTGTCTGTGACGAACAATCCACCATTCAGCCTGGAGATCTTGGATTTCTCATTTGTGGGAGTCAACAGCTAGTACACTGCCTGCCAACCTTGAGCTCTTCAGCCCCTGCAGCTGCAAGAGTTGGGTAAAGCCTCCAGCTTGACATTTGATTCAAGAACTTTGGACTTGCCAGCTTCTATAAGTGTGTGAGCCATTTTCCTAAGATAAATTTCTCTCTCTCTCTCTCAATATATATATTTAAGCTTTACTGGTCTTGTTTCTCTAGAGAACCCAGTCTAACACAATGTAGAAAGTAGTACAGTACTCTCTTAATTCATTTTTTTCTCATGCCTCTGGCTTCCCTATCTGGCAGTTCCTGTTAATCCTTTCTTTCTGCATTTCCTAATGGCTCACCTTAATTCAGAGGGATTTTTTTTTTTTTTTTTTTTTAATTCTGAATAGCCCTTTAAAAAGTTCCAGTGAAAACCTAGATTGGAAAAGATAGTTTATTCATTATACTTATTTTTCCACATCAGAAATTACCCAATTATTCATATGCATTTTCAAATAGTGTCACTTATAAGTGAGCACCTCTAGGTGTGAGAATTCAGCCACTCCTCGGAAGGAAGTTGGGGCAATCTACTTCCGTAGTGATACTGCCTCAGAAACCCAAGGAGGGGTCGCTATGAGTTGTGGCCGACTCTACGGCACATAACAACAACAGCAACAACATAAGTGAGCACCTCTAGGTGTGAGAATTCACCCTGTTAGTCCATGGTAACCTTACGTTTTTGAGGAGGTGTCAAGTGTGTTAATTGGGATACATATAATGAGAACTAGCACTCTTTTGGTATCTGACATACACTCTCTGTGCCTCCTGTTCCTCAGGACACAAATTTTCTTTGGCTATTTTTATATTTTTATACTCATGGATACCAGTACAGATGTTTTTAAGTGTCAACATACAGAATTATTAGGATACATGTAGTAGGTTGAATTATATCAAGTTGTCAGTATTTGACCATTTCTGACTTAAAAAACATCCATTTCATATTGTTCAATCTAATTTTTTACCTGCCACTTTAGAAACACAAACATAATTAGAAATTAGCACATCTGGGATTTTTCAATACAGGTCATCAGAAAGATGCTGCCCAGGAAGCATGTCCAGCAGCCAGAAAACCTATGTAATAGTAAGGATAGCTTTGTGCTCCTATATTGGCAGGATGTTATTAAAGCACTATTAAATGAACAGAGCAGGGAAATCTCAGCACAAAAGTGGAAATTACCTGCAAGTAGGGAATATTAAAGTTTTGCTTTTTAATATTCTCCATTTATAGGCAGATGTTACTATTCTGGAGGAATTCTGCCCCCTAGGGATTTCAGAAGCATCACTATCATTTCATATCATTTTAGATCTTGGAACAGAGTGAGGACATTAAAAGGACATAGTAACACCCAAGAAAACATTTGTGGAATGAATGAACATATTCTAAGTCTTCATGAATGAACATATCCTAAGTCTTCCTAATCTACTTTCCTCAACATGCTTTTATCCAGTTAGCTGAATGAATATGTTAATGGCTTGGAAGAAAGTACTGTTAAGTCCAAATCTTGAGATGCTTTACTGAGAAGACTGTCTCCCATGCTTCTCTTTGTTCTAATGTAGGAGTTGCCCAAGGGATCATAACTGGAATAAGAGGACTGTGCAATGGTCTGGGCCCTGCACTGTATGGCTTCATATTCTATATGTTCCATGTTGAACTGACTGAAATGGAGCCAGAATTGAATTCTAACAACATTGCCATGCAGGTAAATTGGTAATAAATCTCATTTTATAATAGTGGGAATGTGAGATTATAGCAAAACCTTCTGACCGTATTTGTGTAATATGATTGTTGTATTGGACAATAGTAAGTACTGTGTTCAGTGATTCCTGAGTATCTTATGTAAAAGATTTATTTTAACTTTATTCAGAGTGCTGTCTGCTGGCTAAGTCCAGACAAAAGAAAATATGAAATGACCTAAAATTCATCTTATATATTGAGCTAGAAATTTTCTCTCTTTTTCCATCTAAGTGATAATTGGTATAGATTTCTTAAAAAATCTGGAATTAATGTTCATGTACAGAAGTGGATGATCTGAAATCATAGGATAGGATTAGTGATAAACAGCTGTCATTTATATGCTTTACAGGTCTGGTTTACACTATTTAGAAGTGATACAAAGAGCAGTGATTAATTTGCCCCTTTTCATATTCCAAACACTAGCTCTGTTAGAACTTACCTTTTCATTTAAAAAGACAATGGTTTTTGAGATTACCATGATTCACTTTTTCTTGGTGTGCTCTTTTGGGTCATCCTGGACTAATTTTGGATTGGAAAAACTAACTGAATTCTTCATCTCCATTTGTTTCCCATACCCATCAGGGAGCTGTCATCCCAGGCCCGCCATTTTTATTTGGGGCATGTGTAGTTCTTATGTCTTTTGTGGTTGCTTTATTTATTCCTGAATACAGTAAAGCCAGTGGAATTCACAAACATAACAGCAGCCTGACCAACATCTCAGTACGGGACACTGATGAAGACATTGAGCCACTGCTGCAAGACAGCAGTATCTGGGAACTTTCTTCCTTTGAGGATCCTGGCAATCAGTGCACTGAGCTGTAAACTTGGCAGAAGGACGATTTTGCAAATGCTGCCTATGAGAGCCACGGAGGAGCCATACCACACGACCTCATGGTGTTGAAGGAGAGACGACAGCATCCTTCAGTGGCCCTCTTCTACTCCTTCTGTCTTCCTCTTTCTCCTTCTGCTTCCTTTTTGTCCATTCATTTTCTTTGTACATTAGAACAAGGTGAGACGTAAAATACTTTTCTGCAAATGATGTGTAACTAACTCTCAAGGTTATTTGGAGTCTGAGCTTTGATGCTCAAATAGAAAGTCATTTCTGTGGGAGAAAGGATAGCTTTCCTTTAATAACTCCTGAGTAAAGGTGACAGCAATCTTTGCAGGCTCTTTTCAACAGAATGTATAGGATTATAGTAGGACTGCCATCTCTGGCAAGATTTCAGTAAAAAAATCTCTTTTCATTTTATTTGTTTCTCTGAACCCATGCCTGTCTGTCCTATAGGTGTTTATGAGGGGCCACTCTAAAGAGTCACTCACTCAGTATCAGGGATTTATTGCCTTTATTCAAAGGTCAAAGGAAAGCCTAGTTTATTTTCCTTTAATTCTTTTTACTTCCTGTTCTTGTCTAGAATGAAATTCCACATATATACCTCTAGTCATATATATGATCAGTGATTACCAAATGAAGAAAATTTTTCTTAAAATTTATATCATGTAGCACTACCAACTCAGATTCTTGGACCTAATTAATATCTTGGTCTGAACCAGAATGATTTTACATCAAGGATTCTGGTGGTAACAAAGAAACTAGAGGATGCTTCTAAAAAAATTTTCAACAGATGTGAACATTCCTAAGTGTGGATAACAATTAGTAACTGGAAACCAGTGTAGTTTATATTCAAGTTTGGCCTCACAGATTTCGTTACTACTATTTCTACTTTCCCATGTCTCCTACGTCTGACTTCTCAAATTTTTCCCATCCATCACACTTCTGCCTTAAATGTTCTCTGTAGTTCTCTGTAGAGGTCATGGGAGCTCTGGTAGCATAGTACCAGAGGCATTTGACTCCTAACCAGAAGGCTGGCAGTTCAAAACCCCCCAGCCAACTCTTCGGAAGGAAGGTTGGGCAATCTACTTCCATAGTGATACTGCCTCGGAAACCCAAGGAAGGGTCACTATGAGTCGGATTGACTTGACAGCAGTGAGTTTGGTTTTTGGTTTTTCTGGTAGTATGCATTTGTATTCGATAATAAACTTCATTTCATTTTGTTTATCTCACTTAAATTTCATGGAAATATGCACATCAAATTTCTTTCTAAAATATGATGGTTTAGTAAAGATCATTTTCACAAATGTCTTGTAATTTTTCAAGATGCTTTATGAATAAAGAAAACTTTACAGATTTATATGTATTTTGCTGTACCAGTAAATGAGTATTAAATAGGATCTACCTTTAACAGAGCATTCCATTGAAAGTTTCATAAGTATGAAATATATGTAGATATTTGTAAAGGGTTTTAATTTTTTTGATGGGGTGCTGTGTAAATCTTGTATTTATAAATGCAATGAAGGTATTGACAGAAAAAAATATATATACAACTTTTATAAAGGATTGTGTATTGACTGAACACGTTTAAAAGAAAATATATTTTGAAGTCTGTTCTGCCATAAACAGAGATAACATATCTTTTTACTATGCTGTTGATTTTTAAGTTAAGCTTCCAAATACATAATAAATTTGCAATGGATACTTTTATGTCTTTCGTGTTTCTTTGAAACAAATAATGCCATAGATCTTTTGGATTCTGTTTTGGGTGGCTTTCAACTAAAATTAATTATTCAGTTAATACAAAATATATGTACTTTTTTAAAAAAAAATTAATTCTAGTAAACTTCCTTGAAATCTGCTTTAAAAATCAGATAATTTAAAATATATATAAATGTTTATTTTTCATGTTAAATATGCGTTCTAACATCTTTATTTCTGCTTTTTACCGCTGCTTGTTACAATTTATTACTTTACCCAGTATGACCAATGTCTTTTTGTTCTTTTTTTTTTTTCAGTTAGATAGATTTTTAAATTGAGATAAAATTCACATAACCTAATATCCACAGTTGCAGCCATTTTAAAGTATAGAGTTCAGTAGTATTTACTAAATTCCTAGGTTTATGAAAACCTTATCAGATACATGATTTGCAAATACTTTCTACCATTCTATAGGTTGTCTGTTTACTTTCTTGATAGCGACAAGTTTTCAGTTTTTGTGAAGTCCAGTTTATCCCTTTTTCTGTTCTATTTTTATGTTTGGTGTCATATCTAACAATCCATTGCAAATACAAGGTCATAAAAATTTACCCCTGTTTTCTTCTCACAGTTTTATAATTTTAGGTGTTACACATAGGTATTTGTTCATCTAAAGTTGAATTTTGTATAAGGTGTGAGATAGGGGTCAGACTGTGTGTGGAGATCTAGTTGTTCCAACACCATTTGTTGAACTGGCTATTCTTTACACATTGAATAGTCTTCACACCCTTGTAGGTTTAATACTATACATACTAATAGTATATAGTATAGTAACAGTAAACAGTGTAGTATTAGTAAACAGTATACTGTTTTCTATGTCTGTGACAGTACTTATGTTTAGATTACTGTAGCTTTCTAGTTTTGAAATTGGGGAATGTGAGCCCACCAAATTTGTTCTTTTTCAAGACTGTTTTGGTTGTTCAGGGACCCTTTATTTCCATACGAATCTGAAGGTCAGCTTTTCAGTTTCCGCAAAAAAAAAAAAAGCTGTTGGAATTTTTATAAAGATTACAGTGAATCTGTAGATAGTTTTGTATGGTATTGACATCTTAACAATATTAAGTCTGCCAATCCATGAACATGAGATTTCTTCTCGTTTACATCTTCTTTAATTTCTTTTCAACAATGTTTTAAAGTTTTTGGTGTACAAGGTTTACATTTTTTTGGTTAAATTTATTGCTAATATTTTATTGCATGCTATTGTAAATGGTTGCCTGCTAACCAGATGGCTGGTGGTTCAAACCCACCAGCCACTCCCTGGACGGAAGGTTGGGCAATCCTACTTCCGTAGTGATACTGCCTCGGAAACCCAAGGAGGGGTCGCTATGAGTCGGGGCCGACTCGACGGCACATAACAACAACAACAACAACATTGTAAATGGAATTTTCCCCCTATTTTCATGTTAGGATTGTTCACTGCTACTACTTTACAGAAATAAAATTAATTTTTTTTGTGTTAATCTTATATCCTATCACTTTCCTGAATTCATTTATTAAGTTTAGCAGGTTTGTTCTGTGGATTCTTTAGAATATTCTACATATAGGATTATATCATCTGTGAGTAGAGATAGTTTTGTTTCTTTTCCATTTTGGACACTTCAGTTCTTTTTCTTGACTGATTGTTATGGGTAAAATTTCCAGTACAGTGTTGAATATAGGGGTGTTCTTAGGGGGTAATCCATCAAGTATGATGTTAGCTGTGGGTTTTTCATAATGCCCTTTATCCTGTTGAGGAATTTTCATTGTATGCCTAGTTTGTTGCGTATTTTTATCATGAAGTTGTCAGGTGCCTTTTTTGTATTGAGGCAATCATGTGGTTAATATTTTGTTATTGTTGTGTATTACATTGATTTTTGTATATTGAACTAACCTTGCGTGCCTACGTTGTTCATAGTATATAGTCTTTTCAAATACTACTGAATTGTTTGCTAACATTTTGCTGAGGATTTTTGCATTTATATTCACAAGGGTATAAAGATACTGAGCTGTATCTTTTTTTTTTTTTTTAATATTCTTATTTTTCTATTGTGATTTGGGTGAAGATTTACAGACCAAATTCACTTTCCATACAGCAGTCACATATACTTTGCCTCATGTCATTGACCACAATTTACCACAATGCAACAGCTCACCTCCCACTTCCTCCCCATAGTT